AGATGTCAATGGATTTGAAGGACAGCTGGCAACACAACATGTGAGGATGGCAGGCCAGGAAGGGCAGACCATGGTGGGACTGGGCAGGTGAGACAGGGCAGGCTAGGAGGCAACGCAGCGGCAGCTCACGGAGGAATGAATTGTGTGTGGAAGGATATTTGAATGTTTGGGTGAGAGCGAGAGTGGTCTCTGCTCACTGGGGAGGACCCTCAGTATTACCAGGAGGGACTGGGGCTGGGAAGCAATGAGGATGGAGGTGGGTAAAGAGAACTCCAGGCTTGTGGCCAAGCAGCCTTAGGGACCTTGGATTCTCTAATTTGCCTTCCTTTCTCCATTGTTGTGACTCAGCTCTCCCACTACCCCTAGAAGTTCCTGGTCCCTATCATTGTGTGGGTGCAGGCTGGAGAAATGCACCTGAGAATTCATAGTGACCATCTCACTACGCCACCTGCTGTCCATGCATCAGAGGCTGCTAGCTGCGTGGCGCGAAGATTCAGATAAAGGGGGCCCGCAGCTGCGCAGAATAGAGACCCCAGGGGTAATACACAGGCACGAGGGCAGTGGGCACATGAAGTGAGCACCCTGGGTAGCAGGGTAGTGGTCTCCGTGCGGTGGACTGCGGTTAGTGGGGGAAACGCTGAGGGCGGCTGGGTTGGAAGATGCAGTCGGTGGCCTGGGACCTGCGGCTGGTGAGCAGCGGTCGGTGGGCGGGAGGACAGCGGTCAGCAGTATGGGTTTCGGCTCAGGGCGGAGAGCTGAGGGCCCCGGAGAGCAGTGGGCCAGGTCCCGCGGAGGGCTGCAGGCTGAGGGCCCTGGGCTGAGGGCTGCGGCGGGTTGGGTTTCGCGGAGGGGATGGGCACAGGACATAGGGCCGCGGCCCTCTGAAGGACGCGGCGGGCGGCGGGGTAGGGTCCGCGGTGGGTTGAGGGTCACAGAGAGCTGTGGGCTGTGTCCCGTGGTGGGCGGCGGGCAGAAGGCCGAGGGCGGCGGAGGGCTGGCGTCCGCGATTGACGGCGGGCGAGGGTTCGCCAGGGGCTGCAGGCTGAGGACCGCGGAGAGCGGTGGGCTGGGTCCCGTGGTGGGCGGCGGGCAGAGGACCGAGGGACGCGGCGTGTTGAGGCGTACGCTGGGCGAAGGGCTGTCCCGCGGTGGGGTCCGCGGTAGGCTCCGCGGCAGGCTCCGCGGCGGGTTGAGGGTCGCGAAGAGCTGAGGGCTGTGTCCCGCGGTTGGCGGCGGCATGAGGACCGGGGACCGAGGGCGGCGGCGGGCTAGGATCCGCGGTTGGCGGCGGGCTGTGGGCCGGGGGCCGAGGGCTGCGGAGGGCTAGGATCCGCGGTTGGCGGCGGGCTGACGGCTGACGGCCGGGGACCGAGGGCGGCGGCGGGCTAGGATCCGCGGTTGGCGGCGGGCTGAGGACCGGGGACCGAGGGCGGCGGCGGGCTGACGGCTGACGGCCGGGGACCGAGGGCGGCGGCGGGCTAGGATCCGCGGTTGGTAGTGGGCTGAGGGCCGAGGGCCAAGGGCTGTGGAGAGCTGGGATCCGCGGTTGGCGGCGGGCTGACGGCCGAGGGCCGAGGGCCTGGCGGGGGCGGAAGGCCAGAGCCTGAGGCCCGCGGCCCGCGGCGCGCTAAGGGCCACAGTGGGCGAAGGGCTTGGTCTTACCAACTGTGGTGGGCGAGGACCTGCGGAGGGCGGTGAGCCGGCCTTATCGCCAGTTTCTCCGCATCCGCACACGTGTTGGTGATCTGTGCCAGATGTGAGTCGACCTTTGGTTAATCGTTTCTAAAGCACAGTATCTCCTCATTTCATGGGGGAAGCTGCATCTGCATATTCTAAAGCAAGGGTTCTGTTTGGGATGTGTGTGTTCCTAGTTAAACTGAGAAGCTATCAGTATTCATTTGAAATGTCCAGTGATGGAATCTTTTACTTTATTTTCACCCGTATATACAATATTGTATCAATTCTATTTACCTTGAATTTATTTATTTATTTTTTTAAGGTTCCTATGATGGAAACTTAGATTATTGAGTTTAGGTATTCTTTTTTTTAACTTTTATTTAATGAATATAAATTTCCAAAGTACAGCTTATGAATTACAATGGCTTCCCCCCATAACTTCCCTCCCACCCGCAACCCTCCCCTTTCCCGCTCCCTCTCCCCTTCCATTCACATCAAGAATCACTTTCAATTCTCTTTATATACAGAAGATCAGTATTCTTCTTTTCTAAGATATGCATTAAGATGTAGCCTTTTTTTTTTCCTTCTTCTTCTCTCACTACAAGATGTTTCAAGCTAATTGTGTTCCCTCCCTGCCAGAGCCTAGTGTCCATGGTTTGTTCATGGGGTCAAATTTGCTTGTGCTGAGGGGGTATGAAAAAGCTGTGGGCAACAGATGCACACATTGCTACTGTAATGTCTCTTGGTTGTCTTGTCAGCTGACAGAGTAAGGAAACGTGTGCATCTTAACACACATATATACAGGTGTGTGTTTCTGCATACATCCATACACATCTAAATTAAAGTATACATGAGCTCTTACTACTGTCTGCAGGATTCCATGCATTGGGGTGCTTATTCTATTTGTGCATAGCCTGTCACAAGAGTGATAAATTTGGCTCTGTTTTATTTTATCATTTAATGCAAATATATTCACAGTGGTTTCAGAATTGATAACCCATGTCCTCACTGGAAAGAGCTTTACTAATAAAGCACTGTGCTTGTGTAGAAATCCTTTGTCCTTTAGATGCAGAATCTCACTTTATTCCCTAAGTTAATTAGGCCATCCCCTTTCCCTCTTTCTGCAGAGTTTATATCACCTTTGTAATAGAGTTATATTATTTTGTTTGTGTTCTTCTCTGGGAGCCCCTATCCTGCAAAATATTTTTTAGAATTTTATGTGCATTTAGATTCACTCTTCATGTTAAAGGCTTCTGTAGTATTTCCAAACCAGTACCATTGCTTCCATCACTAGCCAGTCATGTGAAACAGTTTCACAGTCCTAGAAAAATCTCCTGTAATTCAACTACCAAACATTGTCTCTCTAAATCCTTTGATAACCATCTGTTTACTATCTCTAGTTTCTTGTATTTCAAAGTGTCATATAAATGCATTTTGAACGTATGTAGTCTTCTCAAACAGGCTCATTTCACTTATCGATATGCCTTTAGGATTTGTGAAGCGCATGTCACAGTTGTTTAGGTTTGCTGTTCCTTAAGGACTAAAGTAATTGAATATTTTTCAGGTGATTACTGGACTTTGATATGACTTCTTTAAATAAGGGTCTTTATTTTTTTTTACCTATTTTTAATTTATTTAATGTTAGAATTGTAAAGATATTTTATATATTATGAATGATGGATCCTTTATCAGCCCCATAATCCATAAGTATTTAATCCTATTGTTTGCATTGCCTTTTTACTTTTTAATAGTTTGAATCACAAAAAATATTTAAGTCTGATTAAGTTTACAGTATCTTTTTTAATGTTATTGTGATTTTTGTGTCACATCTTAGAAAACCATAGCTTTGATTAAGGCTATGAAGATTGGTTGTTCTCTTCCACAGATTTTGCTGTTTTAGTTCTTACACTTTGGCATATGATCTGTTCTGAGTCAGTTATGTTTAGCATGTGAGGAAAATATTCACTTTGCTTGTGGATATAAAGTTGTCCTACCATCTGTTGAAAAATATCTTCTGTATTGAGTAAGATCAGATGAACATAAATATATGGATTAAATTTTCACCCTCAGTTCTGTTCCATTGACAGGTATAATCTATGCTTATATCAGTACTGGAATTTATTGATGACTATCACTATTAAGTTTTGAAATGAAGAAGTTGAATACTCTTTCTTTTTTCCAAGATTGCTTTGGCTGTTTTGGTTTTCTTGTACTTTTTATGAATTTAAGAATCATTTTCTAAATTACTGCAACATAAATAACCTTCTGGGATTTTTATAGGAATTGCCTAGAATTTATAAATCCCTTTGGAAAATATTGCCACGTTAACAATATTAATCTTTCTGATAAATGAACCTGGGACATGTAAGAGAGGGAGGAGATGTACAATTTGGGACATGTTCAATCGGACTTGCCCCAAATGGTGGAGTTAGAAATGTGCCAGGGGATTCCAATACAATCCCATCAAGATTGTGTGTACCAATGCCATCTCACTATTCCAAGTGATCAATTTCAATTCACAATTGATCACACTGATAGGTCTAAGAGTCAAAGGGATCACACAAACAAGACTAGTTTCTGCTAATACTAACTGATAGAATAAAAAAGGGAGAGAATGATCCAACATGGGAAGTGGGATACACAACAGACTCATAGAATGGCAGATGTCCTGAACAGCACTCTGGCCTCAGAATCAGCCCTTAAGGCATTCGGATCTGGCTAAAAAGCCCATGATAGTATTTAAGCATGGAAAGCCAAGACACTCTGGCAAAAAAAAAAAAAAAAAAAAAATGACCCAAATGAAAGATCTCTGTGAGTGAGATCCCAGTGGAAAGAACGGGCCATCAAAGAAGTAGGTACCTTTCTCTGAAGGGAGGAGAGAACTTCCACTTTGACTATGACCTTGTCTAAATAAGATCGAAGTCAGCGAACTCAAGAGGCTTCCATAGACTTGGAAACTCATGACTAGAGCCTAGGGAGATTTCTGATGCCATAAACAATAGTGTCAAATTGTTAAGTCAACAACAGGAGTCACTGTGTACTTACTCCTTATGTGGAATCTCTGTCCTTAATGTGTTGTCCAATGTGAATTAATGCTATAACTAGTACTGAAACAGTATTTTACACTTTATGTTCTGTGTGGGTGCAAACGGATAAAATCTTTACTTAATATATACTAAATTGATCTTCTGTGTATAAAGATAATTGAAAATGAATCTTGATGTGAATGGAATGGGAGAGGGAGTGGGAGATAGGAGGGGTGTGGGAGGGAGGGGAAGTTATGGGGGGGAAGAGGCCATTGTAATCCATAAACTGTACTTTGGAAAATTATATTTACTAAATAAAAGTTTTTAAAAAATTAAAAAATGATTTTTTAAGTTTTCTCAATTTTATTTTTATTTATATGGAATAATTTTTGTATATACATATATATAAATATGCAGTACAGTATATTTTTCCATGCTTGCAAGCATCATATAATAATCATGTCAGGATAATTATGTTATCCATCAGTCATCCCACACATTTATCATTTGTTTGTTGTGAGACTATTTCAAAGCCTTTTCTAGCCCTTTTAAATATTCAGTATACTGTCATTAACCATAGTCACCTTATTGTGTATTGGAACACCAGAGCTTATTCCTTTTATCTAATTGTGACTTTGTACTCACTGACCAACCCTTCCTGATCTCCTCTTCCTTTTCCCTTCCCCAGTCTCAGGAAACCACTCTTCTATTCTCTGATTCTAGAATAACTTTTATAAGATTCTACATAAGAGTGAAATATTGTAGCACATGTCTTTCTGCACCAGGTTTATGTTACTTAACATAATGTTCTTTGGGTTAATCCATATTGTCCCAGGTAGCAAAGTTTCATCCTTTTTATGACTGAATAGTATTCCATTGTGCATATATATCACGGTTTATGCATTCATCCATGATGGTCATTTAATTGATTCTGTGTCTTGGCTATTGTGAATTGTGTTGAAATGAAGATTGCCGTGCAGGACCTCTTTCACACCATGATTAGAATATATGAGGACACTTCAGAAAGTTCATGGAAAATAGAATTAAAAGATAAGTTAATTTTTTGCAAAATATTTTAAAGTCAGGTATGTTTTTCATAATATACATTTTCAAAGAACTTACTATATTTATCTTGTGTACTCAGTAGTAGGATTGCTGAATCACATGCCAGTGCTATTTTTAATTTTTGAGGACACTTCATTCTCTTTTTCATGATGGCCATACTAATAAGATGTCCATTTTCTCTATATCTTTGCCAGTACTTGTTATCTTTGATTTCTTTGATAATAGCCATTCTAACTTGGGAGAGGTGGCATCTCATTGGGGTTTTGTTTTATATTTCCCTTATGGTTAGTGATGTTGAGCACTTTTTACTATACCTGTTGTCCAAATACATATCTTCTTTTTGAAAAATTTTTGTTAAGACCTTTTGCCCATTTTTAATTGAATGATTTGGTTTTTGCTATTGAGTTGTTTAAGTTCCTTTTGTATTTGGGATATATAGTTTGTGAATATTTTCTCTCTTTAAATGGGTTTTCATTTAGTCTGCTGATTATTTCCTTTATGTGCAGAAGCTTCTAAGTTTGATGCAGTCCCACCCATCATTTTTTTCTTTTACTGCCTGTGTTTATCCATTTCAGTACACGTATCTTAAAAGTATTTTGTTACGTTTATTCCTACACGTATTTTTCTTTTTGATACTATTTTAAATAAAATTAGTTTCTGAGTTTTATTTATAGATTGTTGATAGATAGTGTATAGAAATTAAATTTAATTTTTATATTGATCATAATACTGCCACCTTGTGGAACTTTTTGTTTTTGGTTCTAATGATATTTCAATGGAGTCCATAAAATTTTCTAAACACAAATTCATTTTATTTAGAATTAGATATACTTTGCCTTTTTTATTGTTAACACTGTATATTTATTTTTCTGACCTAATTGCCCTTACTGCAACTCTTAGAACAATGTTGAATAGAAGTGGCAAGAAGAGACATCCTTGACTCATGTCTTACCTTAGGGAAAGTGCTAAAGTTTTCAAGATAAGCATGTGATGCTACATGGATATTATAGTGTGCCCTATTTATTTATTTATTTATTTTAAAAGATTTATTTATTTGTTTGAAAGTCAGAGCTACACAGAGAGAAGAGAGGCAGAGAGAGAGAGGTCTTCCGTCTGATGGTTCACTCCGCAGTTGGCTGCAATGGCTGGAGCTGTGCCAATCCAAAGCCAGGAGCCAGGAGCCTCTTCCGGGTCTCCCACGCAGGTGCAGGGGCCCAAGGACCTGGGCCATCTTCTACTACTTTCCCAGCCATAGCAGAGAGCTGGATCGGAAGAGGAGCAGCCAGAACTAGAACCAGTGCCCATATGGGATGCCGGTGCTTCAGACCAGGGTGTTAATCCACTGCGCCACAGCACTGGCCCCTGCCCTATTTGTTTTTAAAGTTGTATTTATTTGAAAGACTGAGTGGCAGAGATGTAGGATGTCTTCCATTCACTGCTTCACTGCCTAAAATACCCAAAACACTTAGGGCTGGGCTCAATTGGAGCCAACTGCTAGGGAGCGCCATCTGGGTTTCCTGCTTGGGTAGCAAGGACTCAAGCTGTTGACTTTCAGGTGCATCAGTAGGAGGACTCTAGGTACTTTAATATGGAATATGGGCAGACCAAGCAATGCTTTGCTCTCTATGCCACAGTGCCCACCCCTGGATGCCCTGTTAGGTTAAGAAAATTCTTTTCTAAACCTAACAAGCTGAGTTTCTAAAATCATGACTATGTTTTGGATTTGACAGACTTTTTTCTCTATATTTTGTTATGATCATGTTTTTTTTTTTAAATCTTTGTTGATATTGTATATTATATCAATTGGTGTTGCATGTTAAACCAAACTTACCTTCTTGGGATAAATTCCCTTAGTCATAATATATCATCATAGTTACGTATTTCTTGGGTTTTCTTTTAGCGCTCTTTTGGAGATTATTTGCCTCTATTTTGTATGGCCTATAGGTTTGTAATTCTCTTTTCTTGTAATGTTATAATGTAGTTGTATTTCTTCCTTTGCTTTCTTCTCTTCCTTCTCCTCTTCCCCTTCTGTCTCCTTTTTCTTCTCTTCTCTTCTACTTTTTAAGGAGTTTGTGAAGTGGTAGAATTCACCTGTTAACTCATATCTTGGACAGGAGATGGAATCCTAACAAGAGTCAACGAATGTGAAAGGAAATTCTTCTCCATCTGGACCTTCAGTTGTGACCCTTCCTTGATCATCATCCACATATTGAGTCCTGAACAAGAGAAGCCATGAGTAAATTGTGTGTGGTTTAGAGTCACTAAGCTTTGTTATAGATTTTTATGCAGCGATAAATAATGCATCTGATTTTAAATGTAATATGGTATCATGGATTTGATCCTGAAATAGAAAAATTATATTAGGTGAAAACCTGGTAACATAGGAAGAAATTGTATAGTTCAGTTACTGGAAATGTATCACTGATAATGTCCCAGTTTATTAGGAATACACTGTTTCTATGTAATTTATTAGCACTACATAAAGGTAAGGATAAATAAAACACTCTGTGATACTTCTGAAACTTTGTGTGAAGCTAAAATTATTTTGAAGTAAACTTGTTTTTTAAAGATGTTAAATCATTACAAAATACTCCCCTAAACATGTAAATAAAAACCTCAACCTCAAAAGATGAATGGGCATGTCGGTAGAGAACAGCAGAGCAGCTTTCCACTTCTTTCCTCTGCTTCAAACACAGTGGCACCTGCTTCAGGAAGACACCATCAAGGTCCTTGGACTCTCTTTCTGGTCTTATTCCTCATTACACTGTAATGCAGTCTCCACTTTGTGAGTCATTAATCACTTCTTATTTTAAAAGAGTTGTTGTTCTTTTTAAGATTTATTTATTTATTTGAGAGGCAGAGTTACAGACAGACACAGGGAGAGACAGGGAGAGGTCTTCCATCTGCTAGTTCACTCCCCAAATGACTGCAGTGGCCAGAATAGGGCCAATCTGAAGCCAGGAGTCAGGAGCTTCTTCTGAGTTTCCCACGTGAGTGAACAGGTCCAAGCACTCTTAGGCTGTCTTTCAGTGCTTTCCCACGCTGATAGCAGGGGGCTGGATAGGAAATGGAGCAGTAGGGACTCAAACTGATGCCCATATGGGATGGTGGTACTGCAGGCAGAGGCGCCAGCCTGTCCTTAACCACTTCCTATAAGATAGGTCCTTGTGCCTCACATCTCTCAAGGCACCATTTTCAGACATTGTCTGACAATGTGTCTGCAGGACTCAATATAGATTCTCTGGAAAACACTGCTTCTGGAGTTGAGAATTAGAGATTATGTCAGTTATAGGTACCATAAATCATATTTTCCATTCAGTTTAGTGTTTTCTGATTTAAAAAATCTACAAGTTCTCCAAAGACAGCTGTGCATTTAATCATTTGAGAAAACTCTGTGATAATCAGCAATTTCTTTTTCATTCTACAGATTCCATAATGAATTCTTTGGGACTTGGTATTCTATTGATACCCACATTACTAGATTATATTATCTTTTCTAAAGCCTAAACACCGCACAATAGGTATTGTTACAGTAGCAGGTAAGTAATATTCAAGTAGCTAAAGATATGTTAATATGGTAGTTGAGACACATACGTGCATGCATAGAAGTGAAATTTTGACACCATGTTTTTGACAGGTTAAGACAATTACATGATTGAGAATATGCTTCACGTAGTTGGAAAGTTCTTATGCATAAAAAATGGTTTTTGTCCCAAGTGTTTGTGGCTTGGAAGGATGGTATTCAATGTGATGATGTTAAAAGGTCAGGGGAGGGGTGAGGGCAGTGCTGTAGTGTAGTGGATAAAGCCGCCACCTGCAGTGCCGGCATCTCATGTGGGCACCAGTTCAGGTCCTGGCTGCTCTACTTCAAATCCAGCTCTCTGCTATGGTCTGGGAAGTCAGTAGAGGATGGACCAAGTCCTTGGGTCCCTGCACCCTCATGGGAGACCCAAAAGAAGCTCCTGGCTCTTGGCTTCTTATCTGTACAGCTCTGGCTGCTGCATCCCACTGGGGAGTGAACCATCGGATGAAAGACCTCTCTTTCTTTGACTCTCTTCTCTCTGTGTAACTCTGACTTTCAAATAAATAAATAAATCTTTAAAAAAAAAAAAGGTGGTTGGAACTTTAGAAGGTTGATCCTAGTGGGAAGTCATTGGAAGTGTTGCATTCAGAATTAAGGTAGTTCTCTCAAGATTTGGGGGAGTTCTCAAGTGAGACTGTCATTACAAAGAAGTAGGTGTGGCCCCACCCTGCTTCTGGCTCCCTGGCACCATGTGATCTCTTTCTAGCATACATGTCTGTAGTGATGACAGCCATCATGATGTGATGCAGCCTAAGGGACCTCTCACAAGAGCTGAAGCCATGCTGGTTGGACTGTCAGGCCCCAAAATTGTGAGCTAAATAAACCCATTTTCCATATACAACATTGTGCCTGAAAAAATGTTTTGTGATAGCAGTGGAAAATGGACAAATTCAGAAAATTAAAACCACCTGAAAATGTGAAAGTTGCCTTTACATTAGGTAAGGAGCAGAGATTGAGAGAGGAAAAGCCTAGAATTTCTGGAATGGAACACTCCTGATCATTTTGGTGAGAGATCAGAAGGTGAGGAGACTAGGAAATGATTCTAAAACATAAGTGAGGATTCTGTTGGAAATTGTAATAAAAGCTACACCTGTTAACCGCTGCAAAAAATGTGGCTACATTGGGTCCATTCCCTAGAGATTTTGGAAGGCAGAATTTAAGCATGATTCACTGGTTTTTGGAGGGAGTTTCAAAACAGCAAAGTATCTGTTTGTTCAAGGTTTATGAGTTTTATCAAAAACATTTTCACTTTATGAATCTTTTCACATCAAATTAGTAGATGTGAATTTTCTTTGCCAGGTATTGCTATAATAAAGGACCTTGGGCTTCAATACTGTATTCAAAGAATGACAAGACTGGATTTATGATAATATACACATGTTTGTATGTGCATATATATGTGTATTTATTTATAAATCCCTAATTATATTCTATTAGAGCTTTCGTAATTAATCAAAATTTTTCTACACATAGAAGGAAACATATACTACACATGAACTACATACTTTGTGGCAGTTATGTACTGAAGGACAGAAGCAAGATAATTCCAAAATTTGAAGTGAACATTAGGTTTTCCAGGAAAACAAATGGAGGAGATAAGCCTTACTGTATTTTTTCCTTTTTGATGAAAATTTGTATTTTATTGTTAGAAATAGAAAGCTGTACTTAAATTAATTCATGATGTAGTAATTTCATCAAATACAAACAATAAAATTCATAGGGAATGCCAGTTGAGTCTACATTGAGTGAGTTAACATATTTATACATGTCATTTCCTGTATCTCTATTGGGTAGTTATTTGTCTTTTGATTTTTGCTTGATCATGTCATGTAAGCCTTCTCTATTTTTTGGTTAGGGGTAAGAATAAGGGGATGAAGGTCAAGTACACCAAAATAGCTTTTATCTGTTTCTTTGTCTTTTTCATCTGAGTTGCACCTGTAATGCAAGCATGGGAACCACGACTTGGTGAAATAATGATGATGCATGGCAGTTCAGCCTTCCTGGGAGCTAGCATGATTACTCTCTCCTATTTTTATGCTGATATTAAGAATGGCTTGATGAAATGGGCCACCTTCTTCTTCCGGACTTTCAGTTTCATCTTTTCCACTCAGGAAGCTCATCAATACCTTTGCTGAACAACAACCTGAGAATTCTTTGGAAATAAATGAGTCAGTAGCAGAGTTCATGACATTGTTCATATCTCTCACACATTATTGTCCTTTACTGTTTCAGGTGCAATGTCTTGTAAACCATTGTTTCACATAGTTTTCAATGTTTTATTTTTAGCATAGGTAAGGCATATTCAGTCATTATTAATTTTCCTACAACATTTTTGTTCATTCCTCAAACAATAATTACTGTAACCCTGTTATTATAGTTCCAGTTGGAAATATCAAGGTGAATGAGGCAGGAAGAATGGAAGTAACAATCAAAGGGAAAGACATGTGAACTGCCATTTGTAACACTGAAGAGGAAGTGAGAATTGTTCTATGCACAGGTTCTCTAGGAGTCTTTATATGGGTCACCCACATGTATGTTAAGATGAATGTAAAATATAGTATCTCTGTCAATTAGTATATACACAATTGCCTCACTTTATTGAAAAAGTCCTTCTGTAATCCTAAGATCATAATTCACATAAAAATAAAATATTGATATTAACTCATAAATGAATTCATAGATATCTTGCCATTCTGATTCTGCTTATTCTCAATAATAGCTGATCCAGAGTCAAGGAGATCATCACATCCCCATCTGTGGCAGGAAGACTGAGAGCAAGACGCATTTCTCAGCAAAAGGGGCTGCACCATTGGCTTGTGCTCTCCACCTTTGCTACTGGCACATATTCTGAACAGGTTGATGTAAGTGATCTTACTGAAACACGATAGGAGAGGATTCTAAAATAAGTTCATCAGTGTGTAGACTAAAAATAATATCATGGCCTGCCACTGGATGACAGAGATTACTATAAAATTTGGGGAAAATGCAGTTACTAAAAATGATGAAGTAGTGTAACTAATAAGCATTTGAAAATATTTATCTGGAAAGACATATTAATAGTGCTACATCTTTTCAAACAAAAATTCCCTTGGTTTAAGACATAAAAGTTATAGATAATGAATAAAGAGGTTCATATGAGAGGCAGCATGGTTCATGGCTCATTAGAGATTCTTTAAGGTGATTTAAGCAAGGGGAGGCCAGATAAGCGGCTGTGGTGGGATTCAGGGTCCATTACCTGTCCTGAGAGAAGAAATGAGCAAAAGAAACATGTTAGTCTTCACCTTCAAATCTTCAGATTGAAAGAGGGTTAGAGTTTGTTGGAAAGCCGACAAAAATATAGGTGGGTAGTTTGAGAGATTCATTAATTCATGTGTGAAATCCAGTGTGAAGGAGAATCATCTGTGTTGCTCATTGTCCACTCCATGTGGGGCTCTCAGGAGAAGAGCACAGACACAGTTTCCAAATTCTCAGATTATCTTAGCCCAGTGGGGATTCAGAAGACTTAACCACATCTGAATTGTAGGGAAATGGGATGCATTTGAAGTCCACAGGAAAGGTGTGGGACCTGGGAGAGGATAGATAAGGAAAGCCAGTGGGAGGAAGAACATCAAGGATATTCTGCAGATTGTGCAGTGATGCATCAAGTGGAGAGGAGAGGGAGTGAAAAGAGTAAACCATGAGTCATGGCATAGGTCAGGTCATGAGAAGAAACCAGTGGATTTGAAGGACAATTGAGAAACATGATTTATGATGATGGCAGGAGCAGGAAAAGGAGACCATGGTGCAATTGGGCAGGTTAAAGGGCAGATCAGGGGATCATACAGGATCATACGGGGCAACACACAGAGGGATGCATTGTGTATGAAAGAATATTGAGTGGGCCTTTCTTCTTTAAAATATTAACCCAGATCATGAGGTTTTACAGTAGGGGGGGGGAATGTTCCGTGCCCTGGGGAGGTACTTGGACATTCCTAAGAGGAGTTGGGTTTGGGGAGGAGCAAGGATGGAGAGGAACAGAATGGTGAAAGATGTTGGCTGTTTCTGTTCACCTTCTTTCCTCCATCTCTCAGACCCATCCCAACATGTAGTCCCCTGTCCTCTTAGTTTTTTGCAGGTATATATGCAATTCATTGATCAGAACATCCAGTATGGATACCACCTCATGGATATGCACACATGGGGTGCTGGAAGCAGCCTAACAGGATGTGTAGACAAGGGGTCAGTCTGCAGCTGCACTTGGAAGTGACATGAACATAGCAAAAAAGGAGCTTTTGTTGTATATGTGAGAAGCAGTGAGTGCTGGGCAAGCTTCTATGGGCGTTTCTCCATACAAATATGCTCATCCATCTGTCTCTTTGTGTCCTCTTTTGTATTCTTTGATATTTTCATACAAACTTCATGATTTTCTCATGTATCTCAGAGCAATAAAGTGCATTTAGGGTTTTTCCCTCTATCATATGAATCATTTTACACTGCATATGAAGAATAGTTGTTCACCTAGCTTCTTATTGATGGAATGTTAATATTTAAGGTATCTGTTTTCTTAGTAAACCAATGTCATTACTCCACATCATTAAGCCTTTGTTTGGTCATTTCTGGATTTTAATGTCTCCTCATTTCAGGGAGGAATTGCCTCTTCATGCCGTTAGTAAAGGGTACTGCTTGGGGTGTTAAGCTTTCCCTGTGAAATCTCGGTAATTGTTTTAGGATATGTTAGGGTATTAAATATTTGAGAAATACAGTTGCTTTGTATTTGATTTGTTTTGACTATCTTTACAACATTATACATTTTCTTCTTAATATGGATAATTTGATTTTTAAGTTTCCTATATAATTAGAAATTAGACTAGTTATGACTTTAGATGTTTCTTCTTTCCTGACACATGCATTCAGTGCTATTGGTATCCTAAGTTCTGCTATCCTCATATTCCAGTAACTTTTATGAGATACGATTTCATCTTCATTTATTTCAAAAGATTTGTATTATAACTCAAGATTTCCTTTTTGACTCAGTATGTTAGAAGTATGTTTTCTGAGATTTTTTTGAGTTATCATTCTGTTTTATAGATTTCTAGTTTAATTTTACCATGGGCTGAGAATGGAACAGACATTTTAGATTAATTATTATTCTAAATTGGAGTAGGTGTATTTTATGTCCACAGAAGTGGTCAATTTGTTCAACTATACAGGTAGACTTATAAAGAATGCATATTCTACTATTTTAGGAGGAAGGTAACAATAGGTATCAATAATATATCAATAGATGGATAGTGCTTTTGAGTTCAACTATTTCCTTACTGATTCTCTTACTTCCTGGATAAGTCCATTTTTAATAGGCAAGTGTTTAAGTCTTCAACTATAGTAGTAGATAAATCTGTTTCTTCTTGCAATTGTATCATTTTCCACCTCAATTACTTTGACCCACTTTAGTTAAGTAAATACATAAATACTGTCACATCATTTTGGAAAGCTGAGCCCTTTAGAATTATAAAGTACAGATCTTTATTCCTGAAAAATATGTACATTTGTGCATATATGCTTATATATAAGAGGTACTCAAAAAGGTCATGGAATTGTGTATCATGAAAAAATGGTATCCATTTCAAAATAATTTATGCCTGAAATAATCATATTTATTACCATTTTTCCATGAACTTTTTACAGCACCCTTATATAAATGAAATGAATGACTGCAAATATAGTAGAGATGAGAGAGAGGAATTAGACATATTTTGCTATGATAAAGTTCTCATATTATCTGTGAAGTTATGTATTCTTATTTGAAAAGGCACTTGGGTACATCATAAATGTAATGTTACAAACTTCAGGCCAGGCTTTTAGACCCATGGCCTCAGTTCCTCAATAGCTATTGACCAAAGTCTACACTCAGTTCTTTGTCATGTGGACTTCTAACACATGGAGAATTTCTCAATAAAGCCATTGAGAGAGGAGAATTTTAGCAAGACAGAAATAAAATTTTACATAGTAATTCAAATTATATCTTCACAACATTCTACATTCTACTACTAGTAAGTAGTCTATTCTATTAAGTAATAACATCTCTGGACCACACTCAAGGGGAAGGGAGTTGAATACGAGTTGGAATATATCAAGAAGTGGGGAACATCAGGTGCCATCTGATAGTCTGTCTGCCACATCAAACCATCTCCAATCCATAGCAGTTTCTCAGTCTTCACTTGTTTTGCATGGCCTTGACTCCTGAAAAGTACTCGACTATTTTGTGCAGTATTCTGAAATATGGATTTGCCTATTGATTTCTCATAATTATACCAGCAATATAGGTTAATTTGGACACACATACAAGTATGGAGACAATAAAATTAAACAATATATTACTTTTAAATCCAAACTTGGAAAAAACAATAAAGAAATGACAACTCAAAATATGTTTCCTTCATCAAATAAGAAAAGGATTGTAGTAGGGAGGTATACCCTAGGGTCATCAACATTATTGATAATGTGCTGTTGTTAATGGCTAGAGCTGAGCCAATCTGAAGTCAGGAACCAGGAGCTTCCTCCGGATCTTCCAAGTGGGTGCAGGGAAGGGGCCCAAGGACTTGAGCCATCTTCTATTGCTTTCCCAGGTCATAACAGAGAGCTGGATTGGAAGTGGAGCACCCAGGACTTGAACTGGTGCCCATATGGGATGCCGGCACTGTAGGTGGCAGCTTTAATAGCTACACCACAGCGCCGGTCCCATATAGAGTTCTGTTGTTATTGTTTACATGGAATCCCCCAATCTACTAGATATGGCTATTTACATTTTTTGCATACAAACAGATTCATTTGTTGTATTATCAGTTCTTAAATTCGGAAAGAGTATTTTGTATCCAGTATTACAAAATCATACAAAAATTTTTCACTACTCTAATTATGTCCTCCGTACTTCACTATTCAAATTTTCTGCTTAAGTCCTTAATAACCACTAATATATTTGCTTTGTGTTTAGTTTCACACATCTTCCATGATGCTGTATGATTGGAGTAAAACAGTACATGGTCTTTTCAACAAAGTTTTTTTTTTTCATTTAGCAATACACTTGTTACATTTGTATTGTATATCTCATGATGTTTGTAGATTTCTACTTTATTAATGGCTAAATATATTGAATACCTTTTAACGTGCTTATTTTTTCTTCTATTACTTTGTTTTTGCTATCATTTCATACAAACCATTTATAGTGATTTATGTGTACATATTTGTGTGTACATGTATGAGCAGGGCAACTGCATGTGAATATCTCCTTGTCCTGGTAATATTTATTGAAAAACAAACTTTCCCATTCGAATTATCTTGACGACCTTCTAAAATCAATTTATCCTAAATTTGACTGTTAATTTTTGGACTCTCAGTTGTTCTCCATTGATCTATATATGTACACATATCCTTATACAAGTAGCACAATGTCTTGATTACTATTACTTTATGGTAAATTTTGAAATCAGGAAGCAAGAATCAAGAACTCCTGCTTGTCCTTCTTGTTCAAGATTGTTTTAGTTTTTCTGGATATCTTACATTTTCATATGGAATTTAGAAATAGCTGTCCAATTAATGCAATGTTTAAAAACCTAGAATTTTTACAAACTTCATCGAATCTCTAGGTCCATTTTGAAAGCTTATCACCTTAAAAATATTAAACCTCCTTGAGATGGGCATTTTCCCTAGTGGTTAAAATGCAAATGGGATGTCTGGATCCTGTATCAGAGTGCCTAGATTCCAGTTCTAGCTTCACTCCCAATTCCTGCTAATGCACACTCTGTGAACGTAACTGTATTTTCAAGTCTGAAAAATAAATTTTTGCATTCACCAGACTCCTCACAAATTCTGTGGGATCATGTAT